ATTCAACTGTCATATTGTAAGTCTTATATCTTTAGTTTATATATTATGTTGTTACATCTAATATCAATTAGATTTTTCAGAACCTGTGTGCAGAAGCCAAATATAGGATATGAAATGTCTAATTTAATGTGCTTTTTCTGTATCTTTGTTGAGGTCTAAAATTCTCAACATCTCAAAACAATAATGCCAAAACAGAAAGCTAAATAACACCTCACATTTTATTTATGTAGTAAAATCACCATGAAAACAACTAAAACTGAGCATGTCAAAGTATATAGTGAAATAAGTGCAGTTTGAAAATGTAAGAAATAAAATATAATTACAGGCATTGGTTAGAGTTAATTAAGAAAACTAAGGATACATCACATTGGACAACTTTAAAACAGGTATGGTGGACTAAAAAAAAGAGGAGTAGGAACATGGATGGGGGAGAAAAAGACTAAAGAATATGGATTCAGAAAAAACAGCTGTGGAAGAATGAAGATTGTTCAAACAACACTAAGAAAGTGAAGGATCCTAGGTAAAGACTGAAATACAAAGGAGGAGTGAGGGATTATGGGAGACAGCTAAGAGATGAACACCCAAAATGCGGAAAAGGAAAAAAGAGACAAGAAAAAAGGTAAATAAAGCTTAGTACTTGTGGCAGAGTCTGTCGAGGAGTTAATGGGGTTTTGCCACCTTCCATCGTCTCACTGCCTCTTGAACCATGAACCTTGTATGCAGAAAGATCATTAACTCCCTCCCTCTAGGGGCCTCATCTTCTTTTTCTTCTTGTCAGTAAGAGCATGGTCCCTGTCTGCCTGCTTTTTGTTTAACTATGCTTTCCATATTTAATGTAACAACACATGCATATTTACAGCCTGAAGGACAAGTTGGGGATGGAACAACACAGTTCTGACAATCTAAAACATCATCTTTCTACCTTAACTAAAAAGCTCTTGTTTTGTAGTGCGACAAATATCCTAGGAATAAAGAAAGAACAAAAACATTTATTTTTTGCACGAATCTAACAGTGAATATTGTGTTAGCTAGCAAACAAGCAGGGGAGACTTAGAAGTAAGTGCAAAATAAACATTGATGAAAAGAGTAAACATGTCAATTGAACTAACACTATATGCTGATGCTAATGTTGCTGCTAAGACAGCAGTAAACAAATGTGGCAAACCTGCTTATTTCTCAGTTGATTTGATTGTTATTATTATATTGTTGCAAGAGCATGGTCTTAGATCATTTATTATTCTATTATTTATTATTATTATTTTATTTATGAAAATTTGGGTCTTAAGAACAATAGTAATTTCAGATTAAAAATCTATTTACAGTACAATTTGCAAACATGTGGGTACGCTTATTTTTCTCTTTTTATATCAGCATCACATTATTTTTTAGAGTTGCAAAAAGACTGGTTGAATTTTTCTGGACCAGACAAAACAATTCTCCACTCCATTTTTCAAGCTTTTTCATTTATAGATGAATATAAATATATGTAAAACTATGAGCATTCATATATGGTTCTGAGAGCCATAAACAAACCTTTTTGTAATTCTGCACTTAACCTTGGTGTATCATTATTTCTCAGTTTTTTTGACAAATTATGGTTAGGAAATATAATTGAAATGCTCAAACCAAAATTATTTTTTAAAATATTATATACTACACCATTTTTGCTATTGATGGTCCTGATCCCAGTTTGGCCTAGTTGACTCTTGTGAAATATTATATTTATTATTACCCTTGGTCAAACTGATCTGCTGATGGTAGATAATATTTACTGAAGTCACATAAAGTTTCCTTAAGGCAGACTACTAATTAAATATAGAAAATGAATTTAGTTACCAGTTATGGAGTCAGGTATAAAACTCATTGCTAAAGTAAAGCCTTATCTCTCTTTTCAACAAGGTTATTTATGCTTTTTGTCACATCTTGTCTAGACTAACTCTTTATACGTTGGGCTAAATCAGTCATCACTGCAACAAATAGTTCAAATAGTTCAGAAGGCTGCAGCTCATCTTTTTACTGGTACAAAGAAGCATGAACACATTACTCCAGTCTTTGAATCTCTTCATTGGCTTCCTGTCTGTCATTAATTTAAAATTGTATTGCTCACGTTTAAAGTTTTAAATGGTCTAGCACCATCTAATCTATGTGGTCTCCTCATCATCCACACGCCTTTGAGAGCACTCTCCTTGATGTTCCGAGATCAAACCTAAATCGTAGAGGTGATAGAAAATTTGATGTGGCTGCCCCAAGACTGTGGAATACCTTAACCTCTACATGTTTGCACTGCTTAGAGCATAGAATCATTTAAATTTCTTTAGAAAACTCATCTCTTTTCCCTGGCCTTTGACTGATTGTGTATTAGACGCTAAATAGTTCTTAGAAATCTTAACTCTTCTGCATTCATTTATTGTTATTACAGTTTTTTTTTCTATTTTCCATTTTATGATTGTTGGTGTAATTGGGAAGCACTTTAGGCAGCCTTTGTTGTTTTCAAATGTGCAATATAAATAAATTTAACACTGACATAAAACATCCTCAGTGGATATGAATTGACACTTGGTTGGTAAAAATATATCCTGTGAGACACCGGTTCTTTAAATAGTCAAAACAAGTTCGGTACCCAATGACAAAAACTGCGTACGAAATGACCAGGGGTCTCATTTATAAACGTGACGTATGCAAAAAACTTGGCCTGAAACTGGTGTACATAACTTTCCACGCAAAGGTTGTGATCTGTAAAAAACAAACACCAGGAGAATGTGAGTGCTGTAAACATTTAAATACTGTGGTTACACTTGTGCGTAATGCTACGCTTCTTTGCTCTTTTCTCCATGGTTGCCATTGTTATCCATGAAATAACATTAATCAGCTGGCTCAAATAAATACACATTGACATTCCTGAGTTGTTTTGCATTGATTATTTATGGTTGAATGTGGGCGTGTACAGGGCAGAACATGAGGCTGAACCTTGTACGCAAACATTGAGGTGCTGCTGAGATTTAAACAGGGGGAATTGCTTGCTGGTGTGCATACGAATGGTTTAATAAGTGTGGATGTTTTTGGGCGAACCAAGTGACCTGGGCTACAGAAATAAATGTACTTTTCAATAATCTAATTTATTGAACATATCTATACAGTTGAAACCAGATGTGTTTATATGTACATACACTGTAAAAAAACAAAAGATTATATTTCTGTTTATTTTTGCATTTAGTTATTAGAAATAGGGTAATCCTAACTGACCTAAAACAGGAAATGTTTAGTCAGACAGTGAGGGGTAAAAAGTAATATGGGTTTTTATACAGCGTATTTAAATATCTAGTTTCGGACGCATTTCCAGATGCATTGGCAAAGGTAAAAGTACATCTCATGACTTTATTTATTAATATCCAGACCACGCAAGCTTCTCCTGACACTTTTAATTTGAAATGATTAATGACTCGAATGAATCACAGAGTGATGGGGTAATGGCATAAAATGCACACTGCAAGCTGCTGCAGAGAACACAAAAGTCAAGGTTAATTTGTGACACCTAGTCATGGGCTAACAGGGGATTAATAGATTAATGTGTCTATACAAGCAGAAACAATCCCAACAAAGAAAATGTCAAGCTTTTCTTGTATGTTATAAACAACAGAGAACTCAGAGAAGGCAGGACGTGATGCAACAAGAACTGAAGATGCTACAATGTTTCGTTAGCAGCATTTTGAGAACAGTGGATGAGACTACATTCATAATTAATTTTTTTAAGGGAAGTAAATTTTCTGTAGGCAGTTCTTCCTGCCATAAACACTTATGATTTTGTGATATTAACACAATCTCTTATATTAATTTTGTTAACATACAGTACATGCATCTCAATAAATATTCCATACCTTGTAAAAGATAGTTTATTTTAGTCTTTCAAAAAGGGAAACTCCTATGTTATACATTCCCCCCACATTGATTTGTATAATTTACGCATTTATTTCTGGTAATTTGTATTGGGTTTGACTTAAAGCTAATAAAAACCCAAACTTTAGTTTTTTGAAAACGTTGAAACTTGCATCATTTTTAATACAGAAATGGTAGGTTATGTCCATGTAAAAGAATAAGCATAAAGGCATTGCATAGAAGGAACAAATGTTGAAATGCAGAAATTAAAGGCATGCAACTGTTCATTAGTTGGATTCTTTGATCAAAAGCTGTAAACAATGTTTTCAGTCCTGATTTTGGGTGTTTGCTCCATAGCTAAGGAGCATAGAAACTAAATGCTGCCTCACTGTGTTTAGTTTTTGTTTTGGAACACTGAGTAAGCAGGTCTCTAAAGACCTGAAGGGGTCTACATTGTTCATTCACGACAAGTAACTCAGAAGTGTATTTTGGCATTTTTGGTGTTGGTAAGGACACTGGCAGCAGCATTTTGGATAAGCTGCAGGTGTGATTTATCTTTTACAGAGACCACTATTGCAGTTACCTAACCTACAGAAAATAAAAACATGCACCAGTTTTTCTGTGTCTCTTTTTGATAGGAAACTATACCCTGCCAATGTTTTCAAGATAATAGTAAGCTAATTTTGGCAGTAACTTTTTGTGAGTCCAAAACAACACCAAGCGTCTTTGTGTGCTCTGTGTTTTTTAGCCCCATTGAGTCTAATTGAGCGCGGATCTCGATCCTTGCATTTTTGAGACCAATAACAATGGTTTCTGTCTTCTTTGCATTAAGCTGGAAAACATTTTGACAAGGAGAGTAAACCAAAAAAGTTTATTGCTAAAGAAGCTGGCTGTTCACAGAGTGTTGTCAGTCAGTCATTTTCTATACCGCATCTTCCATAGTGGGTCGCAGTGGACAGGTCACCAGTCCATCGCAGGGGAACACACAACCATGCACACACTCATTCACACACCTAAGGGCAATTTTAAAAGATCAGTTTACCTAACAGTCATGTTTTTGGCCTGTGGGAGGAAGCTGGAGTACCCGGAGAGAACCCACGCATGCACAAGGAGAACATGCAAACTCCATGCAGAAAGACCTTCGGCCAGGAATTGAACCCAGGCCCTTCTCGCTGCAAGGCAACAGTGCTACCAACTGCGCCACCATGCAACAGGGATGATCACACCCTGTAGAGGAGTGTAAAGCAAAGACCAAGCAGGATTTTGGGAGAATTTCACAAGATGTGTACTGCAGTTTTAGGCAGGGCTTAAGAACCACCTGGCCTGTTGTGCAGTCATCTAAAGTTATCTTTAGGATGAAAGTAGTTTTCACATTTTATTTATAATTCAAGGTACGACAGTCTGGAAGCCAAGTAAAGATGGACAGAATCCAAACTGCCTGAGGTCCGGGGTGATGTTTCCACAGTCAATGATGATTTTAGCATCTGCTGGTGTTGGCCCAGTTTTTGATCAAGTACAAAGTCAAAGCAGCAGTCTACCAGAGTATTGTAAAGAACTTCATGTCTCCTTCTATTAATAAGCTTTATGGTGATTTCATTTTCGAGCAGCACTTGGTCCCTGCCCACAATGCCAAAAATACCAATACCGGGTTTGATGAACATACGATGAATGCGCTTGAATGGCCAGTTTACTCGCTTGACCTAAACTCTATATGGTTGGGACCATTGCCCTGCAGGTATTAGATATGTACTTGCTCTAATACTAAAGACAAATTCATTTGATACAGGCAAGACTGATTTTGAACAACTGACACAGAGATTCTAAAGGGTATTGTCAAAGGGAAGGGGGGAGACACCAGAGCCAACAATGCATCTGAAGGCAGCTATTAAAGCAACCTCGGCTTCCATTACATTTGGTCCTATGTAAAAGTCAAACTTTAGTCTTCACTAACTGTAAGCCATAATTATCTATAGTTAACAGAAAGTAACACTTGAAATATGTCACTGTGTGTACTGAGTGTATACACAAACACAAGTTTCACGTTTTAAACAAAATTTTTGAAATGAAAATTAAATTGACATTTTTTATTTATTTTAATCTTTTGAGATGCACTTGAAGGTAGCTGACAAGTTATTTGCAAGACGTGTCTGAAAAAGTGCAAAGAGCTGACAACAAAAAAGATAAGTAAATGAAATAATAAGAAAATCACAAGCAAAATATATTTTAATACAGTCAAAATATGTTTTCATAAAGTTCTTATTTTTTGGCTGCTCTGTGTGGTGCAAGATTTTTTCAGGAAAATCCACAACCACAGAAAATGTATCTTAGACATTTTTAGGTTTACATACTAAAAATGTAGAATCTTAACTCTAAACACAATTTTTCACCACACTGCCACCTTTATCTGTCTGCAGGAAACATCTTTACATTAAGTCTACTACCAAATTTTCAGTTCAGAGCCAGATCAGGAGGGTAGACAATAGACACTCTGTTAGTAAAACCACTGCATAAATCATTCAGAATGAATTGTGCTATTGTCCATCTAACCACCATCTCCAGGGAGTAAACATCGACATAATTTTAATAAACACTTGATTATCAGTCAGTCCTGCACATATGGAAGTCATTCAGAAAGGACAGTCCATGGAGGATAAGCAGTCAAGGGGTGCAAAATCAATATAACATTGTTTGGGTTTGGATTTATTGCTCAAATTCTTAAATAATAAAACGGTTGTAAACAAAGTGAATTTGTTAGAATAATGTAACAAATATTTTGCAATGAATAAAAAGTATAAAAAGTAAATAAAAAAGAATACAGATTTTGCCTTAAGTTGTATTTTAGGGAAATGCCGTTTTTATGTGAGGTTTGTACTAAAAAGGGGTTTTGTGAAATCTTAGAAATTAAAAAAAAGATTTAGTGGCAAAAATAAAATAATTATAGTATTGCTATATCTTTGGAAACTGAATTATCTCATTTGATCTCATCTTATGCTGATATGTATTATGTGGTCTGGTAACATGTCCTCAAAGGTGCACCCTACCTCCCATCTATTGACCACTATTAATAGAATCAGTCCCCCCCCAGCCACCCTACCACATGACCCTGTGAGAAATAAGCACTTACTGAAAACTGTGGGATGGATTACATGTTTGGGATTAAAAAGAACCAAATTAGGACCCAGCATAGCTCTGTGAGGTGGCAGAAATGTAATTTACTTTGCGATATGTACAGTGTTTTCAGGATATCAAATATCACTGTTACTGGATAGCCAGAGGCCATAAGGTCAGCAAGGAGTGTCTCTCTGCCTCACACTGTGCATGTGTTTGTGTCTAGATTTCAAAGGCCAAAAAAGGTGGAGATGGATATAATACCTTTCAAAGCAGAGGTGCTACTAAGCACTTTAAAGCAATTTCTTATGACCTTTCCTGTAGAAGGCTCTTATTTATATCACTTGTATTATACATTGCTCTGCGTGGAAGTAATAGTGATTTTTTTTTTACTCTTTAGAAATTTAATAGAGAAATCACTGTATACTCAACCTGCTGAGTTCTTGCTTTATTACCTAGGATTCACGTGTTGCATAACAAAGATTATCTGGAAAAGGACAAAATGTTTTTGTGATTAACGAAATAACGCTATAATACATTATAAACATTGAAAAACAGATATCTATGTTCAATGTTTAGAAAGAGCAATGTATTGGCAGAGTTTCACATAAAAAGTATTCACACTGCTTGGTATTTTTACACATTTTGTTTCCCCTATATTGCTTGTGGCACGCTTTAACCAGGACTTCTCTTGGCTTTCTTTCAGCAATGGTTTTAGTTCTTACCACTCTTTAGATAAAGATTTGAGTCTTGTGCAACAAAAAGTTCTTGTATCAAGAGATTCTCCCACCCGTGCTGTTCATCTCTGCAGCTCCTCCAAGGTTACCACGCTCCTTACTGATTCTTCTCTCTTTTACTAGTCTGCTACTTTAGGTGGATGGTCATGTCATGTTAGGTATGCAGTTGTGACATACTGTAGTCTTTTTATTTTCAAATGATGGACTTAGCAGTTTCACAGAGCATTGAACAGTTGTATATATGCTGGAATTAACATACACACAGGTGACTTTTTTATTTTTCTAATTATGTAACTTTTAATGGCAGTTGGTTGCACTGGATTTTATTTACATGCTTTAGAGTAAATGGAAGTTAAATACAAAGACACACTACATTATCAGGATTTTTGTTGGCGAAAAATGTTTAAAAACAGGTATTATTATGTTTCTGTTACCCGGTTAACCTTTTCTTTGTCCTACTGTGGTCTATCACTTATCTATCATTTATTTATGTAATGTGAAAAAAATGTGAAAAGATAGAAGGTATATAAATGCAAGACATTGTAATCATCCTACAACTTAGATATTCTGTTTTTTAATGTGTCCCTAAATGTTGATGCATTTTTACTGTACATATACATATATATATGAGGCTTGTCATTTCAGATTCACTGAGGCAAACTGTGCCTTTACTGAAAATCCCTGGGACAGTGATTAATGTATAATGGGGAAAATATTTTATAGAATTTGTGTTGAAGTGAAGATCACAGTTGTTTATAGTCGATACATATGATCTGTGCCACAAATTATGTTGTTAGTAAACTGACTGTCAAGGTCAAGGCCTCAGGTCAAGGCTTTAAACTTTTCAGCTGGGCATCAATATAAAGCACACATTAAAACAGCACAAACACATACGTACTCCAATTTTGCTAAGATTCCTTTTCGTACTTTGTAACTAAATTATATCAGGGGATCCTTTGAAAATGACAAGTGTCCAAAACAACATTGTAAACTACAGCATTACATTCAGCTGCTAAATATTGAATAAGATGTGTGAGGTGTCCTTGCACATCAGAGAAACCAAGGACTTCTTGGGGAATGATGAATGACAACATAATTTCTACGTACTACGGATTTCAGACTAGGGCTGCGGGCATTATATAAACTGAAAAGTAAGTCAACAGCTTGGGCCCTGACAATTTTCTTTGAGGTGTTTCTGAGGAGTTCAGAAGCCACAGTGAAGCACACTGTCTTGCTCTGTGAGGCTATTGCTGTGCAAGAATGCTTGTTGCCTTAGGAAACAAATCATATGAAGGCTAAAAGCCAAGGTTACCAGCAAAACAATTCATTTATCTGAGAAGAAACATAATTTACTTCTCTTTTATGGTGGTACCTCATCAGTGTAGTTTACAAAAGCATAAACAATTAAGGGGATTTAAAAGGATTTGATAATTTGGGCTCAATATCACATTCAGGGGTGGAAATAGTGCTGCGGATCATTACCCTAATGGCAAGAAAGAGATTTTGTGTCATCTAGTTGCAGAACAAAATCAAAATTTCTTGTTTTAAATGTTTTATATGGTTAAGTATTAGTGTGAGGATTTTAAGGGGGTCTCTCTCCTCTCCAGATCTATCCCTGTTTGCCACCTCATGGTTTTGATAACAAGATTACACTGAAGTTCTGCGAGATGCCTGCAACATTGCTTTACATCAGCTAAATAATTGCTTTGCCCCTGCCTGGTGCATTTATTATCACTAGGACCTTACTTTCTTCCATCTTACTCCTCACTGACATCCCTTTCATTGCAGCTACAATGGCTTTCATTATTAATGACAGAAAAGACCACCACCACCACAATGGCAAGTTAAATCAACAGGCACCCATCTATTTGTATCGAAGCGTATAATGACATGAGGATAATGTGCATTCTCATGCTACCTCAAAAATGATCAGCCAAATTGACCTATTGTGATTTCTTGTTTGAACTGAGGAAATGCTGGTTATCAATTATCCTTTCACTTACAGCGGTTGTGATTAGAAAACTGTTGAGGAATTTCATCCATCTTCATTTTTGTTTAATGTACGTTAATGTGAAGGTCATATAAAAAGTATATAGATAAAGTATTCATACCCTGTGAACCTTTTTGCATTTTGTCTATCATATGAAATCCAAATGAATCACCATGTTATTTACAATTTCAATGTGTGAAAATGTTGCAGGGTATGAATACACAAAGGGCCTGATCTTGAAAGATCTCAAATAGGAGGCGCTAAATTGCTTGTACAAAAAAAGAGGTTTGAAGTTGTTCTGCAAGCAGATGCTTTATGTTTGTGGTCCGGATGGACCAAGTAAGGCAAAAACTACATCCTGCTCGCCTTTAATCA